TATACAGATTGCAGAATCACATCAGTTACACATCCATTGATTTACATATTGCCATACTAGTGTCTGTTGTATTCTGCTGCCTTTCCTATCCTCTAATTGCCTAGTTTTTTTTTTGAATGAAAGCAAATTATTTTATTTGAGGGGAATCAATTTATAAGAGTCACATGTAAAAAATAATCTTGCCAATGAGGACTTGAAAATATTAAATTTCTAAGATTTTATGTACAAGATACTGATTTTTTTCTTTGTGTGCATAAATTTGCTTTTTTTTTTTTTTTGGTACTGGAAATAGAATGTATATCCTTTTGCATGATAAGCTGGCTGCTACTCATTGAATGTACTTTTAAGTAGAAAGTCACTCTTAAAGCCTCAGGCTTCTTATTTTTGTGTCATTTTCAAAGATACTGTTGTCTGGGAAGGTTTTCTGCTTTTGTCCTTCACCTCTGTTTTTTTCTGGACTCTTCTTTGTAACATAAGGAGTAGATTAAGTGTGAGCCCAAAGGGAGAAAAGCATTTTGGGGAGAAAATGTGACAAATGGTCCAGGCTGGGCTGTGAGGAGATAGCTCTGTTTCCAGCCTACCTCGGCCCTGTGGAGATTCTAGCTTCTCATTGCATTTGATGGGGGCATACCATGATTCTGCTGATTCCTTATCCCATCTGGATACCTGAAGAGGCCTTCCTGCCCAAATTCCTAGCCTTAGCAAGAATATGAAATTTAGGTTGGCATCCTATCATCTATCTGACTTTTGATCCTAGGAGGAATCCTGTTGACATCTAACCAAGGTCTCTAACTCCTGCCAAGCCTATCTGGGAACTTTGGTCTCCACACTGACCAAGGAGCTTCCCCAGTGGGCCTGTAGCAATCTGAGAGTGGTGTGATTGAGGAATCATGCAGATCAATTCTAAAAGCAGAGTGGTATAAAAGTGTTCTCATGAGCCAGTCTTCAGTCAGTTGAGGAAGAACATACCTGTCCAAGGGAATTTCTACCCCAGGCCCAAAGACTGAAGACATTAGAGATAGGAACTTTTTAAAAAAATCTTGAATCAGGAATAACTTTCTCAGAGTACCAACATCCATTTGAAAGGAAACTAATAGTGAAGAATGAGCTATTGACTACGGATTAACATTTTGGTGTTAAGCCAGTTCTCATATTGGCTGTGGCACTGGGTCATTTAGAAGTTTGGCTTTTGTGCACAGTAATGCTGCTGTTGCTGCTTTTGTGTGGTGGTCCTGACTACAGGGGCAATTTAAAGACTGGCTCAGGAATCAGTAGGAGCTTGGTGACAAGTAGTGTAGAGAAGGGTATTTGTATTACTTATCAAGACTTGAGGTTTCAGAGAGTAAAAATGGCTTAAGGTTGGGACAGTCTCTCAAGATCACCTAAACATATTCTACCACAAGGGTAAATGAGGAAAACTTTACCCCCTTTGTCTTTAATGTAATATACCCTGTGGTCTGAAGAACTCTTCCTCCCTCTGTGCATATTGGTATCATTCTAACTTCCTTTCAAGGGATTAACTCTTGATCTAGATAATCCAAATTCTAGAGAAGCACATGGCTCCTCTTATCTCCAGAAAGGTGGTATTCCATTGACATCTAACTCTGCTTCTCTTGGAGAGGTGTTATCCCTCTGCATCTTTCTCTGCCACTCTTTCTAAGATCTGCCTCTTATCTTTTTTTCCCCTTTTCTTGCAGTACTGGAAATTGAACTTGGGGGCCCTCTACCACTGAGCTATACCCTCAGCCCTATTTATTTATTTATTTAGAGTCAAAATCTCACTAAGCTGCCCAGGCTGGCTTTGAACTTGTGGGCCTCCTGCCTGAGCCTCCCAGGTAGCTAGAATTACAGGCATGTGCCCCCATGTCTGACTTTGGTCTCCTTTTAAATTGACCAGACCCTGTAAGTTCTTCTGATTCTTCTCTTAGCACCAACTGAGAATGTAGAATAGGGCAGTCTGGAGAGGCCCCACAGCCTTTGGAGAGAGGCAAGAGCTGTTCTTCTCAACTCTCTGTTTGTCTTTCTCTTATAGGCAGCCAACACTGAAGGGTGATGAAAAGCCTGTGGCCAGTGTTCGTCCTGTACAGTCCACCCCCATCCCTATGATGCCACGGCATGTCCCACTGGGAGGCACTGTAAGCTCTGCTTCCAGCACAAATCCATCCATGAACTTCCCGATTAACTACTTGCAGAGGGCGGGAGTCCTCGTGCAGAAGGTGGTCACCACAACAGGTCAGAGAACTCTTCCATTCTATTCAGGGGTATCATCCCTTTTAAAATGACTTTGTTCACTAGGAAATATTTGTCAAATACCTTTTGTATTCTAGACCTTACTACATTTGGCACTGTAGGTAAGAATAGAGAAGATAGCAGAGAAGAATTTGCAATCTGGTGAAATATCTTAAGAAAAACACAGAACTGGGTTTTCTTGAGTATGGTGGATGGAATCCTTTGAGCACACAGCGATTATGGAAGTGTCATTAGATCACAGGGTAGGTCTCATAAGCTGTCACAGAGATGTGAATGTGCTGAGTCCTGCTAGGTGACATAAGATCAGCTAGGTATAAAAGACAGCTATCAACTTCCCTATGTAATTAGAAACCTGAATTGTCACTTGCTTCTTTCATTGTGAGTTTGATGTAGCTGGAGCATTTTGGGTCAGTGAGCAATAGTGCAAGGTGGGCAGCCTAGTTACCCTTTAGTTAATTCTGTGATTCAAAGTGATTGGGAAGGAAGCATTTCATGATCCTATTTTCCATCTTGCTATTTAGAATATTCATGACATATAAATTTAAATGAAAACATCTTAACTGATTTATATGAGAATAAAAAGAATACATGTCCATTGTAAAAAAAAAAAAGTGAAATTAGTAAACAACAATTAAAAAAAAAAGAGCTCTTTGCAATCCCATTTCTCTGCTGATTCTTGAAAATACTCTTTACTGTGTGTGGAGTAATGCCAACATGGAAGAGGATGAGGCCACTTTTGGAGCCTGAAGTGATGTGGAACCGATAAAATGCCATTTGAATTAAAATTTTTTTTCTAAATTAAAACTATAATTTTTAATTAAAGCAAGGAAAATTGGAAAGATGAGCAGATTTCTTGGTTTCTTAGTATTCTTTGTTGAGACAATTGTAAAAGATTCTGCCTATTTCACCTTTCTTGATTTTAAACTTCTGCTCCACAGAGAAGCTTGTAGGAAACCATTGAGGAACTGGGACAGATATGGGTCTTTGCATTTTCTTTCCCTTCTTCAGTCAGGCCCTATGCAATCTAAATTTGAGGTCTATTTTTCACTAGATATTGTTATTCCTGGACTCAACAGCTCTACAGATGTTCAGGCTAGAATTAATGCTGGTGAGAGCATCCACATCATCCGTGGGACAAAAGGTGAGAGCCTGACCAAAGAACCTATCCCTTGCCTTTGTTTGAGAGTACTATGCTGGGAAACAGAATAAATACAAATGACTTGAGCTAATGGAGCATAGGAATCATCTCACAAAATTGTCACAATTGGGGGATATAAGAAAATGGCATTTCTAGGAGCTTGGCAGAGTTGGGTTGAGCCCAATGAATATTGGTAAGGTCACTTACACTTTAAAAAAGGGAATCAAGGTCCATCCCTGTGTTTCTGTATTTTGCCACTGTTTTTATGGAGAATCTTCGGAGGGGGATGGGTAGATACCCAGAGACCAAAACTGACAGGAAAGCACTGTGAAATGGATTATAAGCCAACATATGTGTTAATGTGTCATTTGTACCTTTTTCCTTGGAGAACAGAGTGAGACTCTCAGGCTGGGAAATGTAATGATTGTGTGAATGAATTAGTACACATGAGTTGCATGATTTTTTTAATTTTTTTGAACACAGAGGTGCTTTACCACTGAGCTACATCTGTATATTCTCAATTCTTTTTAAGTTGCTTAAGCCTGGCTTTAAACTTAAGATTCTCCTCCCTCAGCTTCCTGAGTTGCTGGGAACACACATGTGTGCCACTGTACCTGGCATGTGATAAAATTTTTTGAGTGTGGTAATATAAAAAGTCCATACATATTTCTGGGTTCCTTACAGAGTGACGAGAGATTGCTAGAATGAAAAAGCTGGCCTAAACAGTGTCAATAAACAATCGAAGCCTGTTTTTCATATTAGCCTTTAACTAAACCCATCAATATATGAGGCTGTTTTGGGGTTTGTTTTTTTGTGTGCGGTAAAGAGATTTTACCCTAGAGTTAAGAGTACCTTTAGGCTTAGGAAAAGGTTTCCCTGAAGTACCCAGATGCACAAAGACAACTCAAGCTCTCTTACTGGGTTCTTCCCACCGCATAATGGGGCTCTTTCTAACTTAGAGCAGAGGTCAGCAAACTACAACCCATGGGCAAGTCCAGTGTGCTCCCTGTTACTGTACCTGGATGCTAAGAATGGGTTTTGCATTTTCATTTGGGTAAAAAAAAAAAAAAAAAAAGGAGTAACATTTTGTGATGTGAAAATTATAAGAAATTCACTTTTAAGCTGTGCATGGAAGTGCATGCTTGTAATCCCAGCAGCTTGGGAGGCTGAGACAGGAGGATTGTGAATTCACTGCCAGCCTCAGCAACTTAGCAAGACCCTGTCTCAAAATAAACTATAAACAGGCTAGGGATGTGGCTCAGTGGTTAAATGTCCCTGGGTTCAATCCCCAATACCCCCTCCCCCCAAATTCACATTTTAGTGTCCGTGAATATTGATTGAAATGCAACCATGCCTAGCCATTTTCATGTTACAGAAGAATTAAGAAGCTGCCAACAGAGATCTTATAGCTTATAATACAATAAATATTTACTCTCTGGATCTTTAAGAAAATGTTTGCCAACTCCTGGCCTACAGGTAGTTCTGATATTCTAGAAACCTACAGGTGGGCCTGACACTCCAGAATATTGATCTAATGACATACTCAAGAATGAAGAGAAGGTAGATTAGTGCCTTGAGGGAATAGAAGGTGTGGGTCTTGAATTCTTTTAACAAAGGACAGAGGATAATGAAGTAATATGGGTCCTTCCTGTCAGATTAAGAGGAGGACCTGAGCCAGAGTATTGGGGAGAGTATAAGGCGACAAATTGTTCTCTTTCATAGCACTTTATTTCCTCCATTGCATTGACTTCTTCTTATACTTTCTGGTATAATTATCTGTCTTCTCTTCTAGAGATTAAGCTCCTTGAGACAGGGCCTTTTCTATCTTGTTTAGTCATAGTATATTACTATGTGCCTAATACTTGGTAGTCTAACTATCAATGCTTCTGGAATAGATAAATAATTATGAGTCCATAACTATTATCCGACTCGTCATTTCATGGATCTTGAGAGAGGGAATGAGACTTAATTTTATAGCTGTTTCCCAGCCCATGGTGCCTGTTGGAAACAGTACATATCTGTTTCTAAAAGTCATCTTCATGCTGCTTCTTAGGGACGTACATCCGCACCAGTGATGGACGGATCTTTGCTGTCCGGGCAACTGGCAAACCAAAGGCCCCTGAAGATGGTCGGATGGCTGCCTCAGGTATGGTAACTTTTACTTCCCATCAACCTGCACATTGGTTTGACTTGGTTTGTAATTAGCTTATTTTCTTTTAATAGATAATGTATGCATAGTTCCTAATTCAAAATGTACAAAAAGGAGTTAAGTGAAAAATAAGTTTTTCTTTCTATTTCTCCAGCTAGCCTGAAGCTTAGAAGCACTTGTTTGTTTTTCAGAGATATTCTATCTATGATACAGGGTTGTGTGAGTGTGGACATATAATTGTGTGTATAAAATATGTAAATAACATATAAATAAATTCTCTCTCTCTCTCTCTCTCTCTCTCTCTCTCTCCCTTCCTTCCTCCCTCCCTCCCTCCCTCCCTCTCTCTCTTTGGTACTGGGGATTGAACCCAGGGACGCTTAACCACTGATCCACATACCCAGCCCTTTTAGAGACAGGGTCTTGCTGAGTTGCTCAGGGCCTCACTTCAATTGCTGAGGGCCTTGCTAAATTTCTGAGACTGGTTTTGAACTTGTGATCCTTCTGCCTCAGCCCCCAAGTTTCTGGGATTACAGGCATGTGCTGTCATGCCTGGCTTTTCTTTGTAAATTCTTAAAACAAACAATGCTAATATACTATAATACACTATTTATTCCTGTTTTCACTCACCAGTAATAACGCATTCCTTATCATTTCTTCTCGATATGCCTCATTGAAGGTTTACACAGGATAGGATATAACACAGTGCACTAACTAGCTCCTTATTGATATACATTCAGATTATTCTGCTGCACCACTGTGACATGTGGATGTATCCATAGGACATATTCTTAGAAGTGGGGTTGTCAGGCCAGAGGGTATATGTGTGGCACATTAACAGTGTTAGGAACTCTTGACAGGTTTTCCTCAATGGGAGTGATTTTTATTTATCCTCCCCACCACCGAGATACAAGAGCTACAATGCTTTTGTTCTTCTTAACTTGTGTTATGAAAATTTTCATACAGACAGAAAGGTTGAGAGAACAGCAATGTGAGTGCCCATACACCCTACACCTAGATCCAATAATTGTTAGTTTTTGTAAACCTGTCTCTCTTCCTTTCTATTATTTGAGTCATTTGTAAGTTGAAGACTTCATATCATTTTGTAAGATATACTTCAACATATATTTTAAGATTTAAGACATTTTCCTAGCCACAACACTATTATCACACTAAAAGAACAGCTAACAATAATTTTATAATGTTACCAGGTCATAATATATCCAGGTCATATTCAGATTTCCTAGTTGTGCCAATTCTTCCATAGCTATGGATTTTGTTTTGTTTTTTTATACTAGGATGGACTGCTTTTTAACTTCATTTACCTCTTTTCTCCCCTGGTCACTGTCTCTTGCCCCTAGAAAAAGGTCTGATTAGTTTTAAGAATGATCTGATGTTTCATAGCCATTATCTCATAGGATTCATATTGGTAGAGTTTTACAGATTGGGAAATCTGGGTGCAGAAAAGTAACATGCCTTTTCATGGCTAGACTTATATCTGGGATCAAATCTGGGAAGGGTTAACTGAGTGTGTTATTTAGACATCAAATAATTAGAATTTGGGGGGCCACAAGATAGGGTGTTTTAAAAATAGCTTTCCCCCTTTGTTTTTTCTTCTCTTTATTGCTATTCTGGTGCTAAGTTATCTGTATTTTGTTCCTAGGTTCCCAGGGACCTTCTTGTGAGTCCACAAGCAACGGCAGACACAGTGCCTCATCACCCAAAGCCCCTGACCCTGAGGGGCTGGCCAGGCCCGTCTCTCCTGACAGTCCGGAGATCATCAGTGAGCTCCAGCAGTATGCAGATGTGGCTGCTGCTCGAGAATCCCGTCAGAGCTCCCCAAGCACCAATGCCTCCCTGCCTGGCCCCCCGGCCCAACTCGTGGACAGCAGTGCTGTTCCTGGGACAGCTCTTGGAACTGAGTCACGGCTTGGGAGTCATTGCCTCAATAGTTCCCTTTTGGTGACTGGCCAGCCTTGTGGTGGCAGGCACCCAGTGCTAGACTTAAGGGGCCACAAGCGAAAGTTGGCCACTCCACCTGCCGCCCAGGAGTCAGCCCGCCGGCGGTCCAGGAAGGGCCATCTGCCAGCCCCCGTGCAGCCGTATGAACACGGGTATCCAGTCTCCGGCGGGTTTGCCATGCCACCCGTCTCCTTAAATCATAACCTCACCGCCCCCTTCACCTCCCAGGCTGGGGACAACTCCCTGTTTATGGGCAGTACCCCCTCCTACTACCAGCTGTCCAATTTGCTGGCAGATGCCCGCCTGGTATTTCCAGTGACTACTGACCCTCTGGTGCCAGCAGGCCCCGTCAGTTCCTCTTCCACGGCTACCTCAGTCACTGCCAGCAACCCCTCCTTCATGCTCAACCCTTCTGTGCCAGGGATACTACCCAGCTATTCACTCCCATTTTCACAGCCACTCCTGTCCGAGCCGAGGATGTTTGCGCCTTTTCCCTCCCCTGTCTTACCCAGTAACCTTTCACGGGGCATGTCTGTCTACCCTGGCTACATGTCCCCACATGCAGGCTACCCAGCTGGTGGCCTCCTCCGGTCCCAGGTGCCTCCATTTGACTCACATGAGATTGCTGAGGTGGGGTTCAGTTCCAATGATGATGAGGATAAGGACGATGATGTAATAGAGGTCACTGGGAAATAGCTGGGGAGGCTTTCCCCACCTCACTTGGGGTTCCCAGCAGGTTGCTCACAAAGCTGAAAGGCAGTGATCTGGGCTTTTTGAGAATAGGGTTCTTGGCAGGAGGGTAAAGGAAGAAGACAAAGAAGAGTGGTTAGCCATAGGGGCAGGGCTCTGTTGCTATTTTTAAAAAGAGGAAAAACAAATACAAAAAACAAAAACCCCAACGGAGCAGCAATAGTGGGAAATCAGGGACCCAAAACAGGGACGGTAGGGCAGGGCAGCCTGTCTCCCTTCCTTCCTGCCTTGCTTATGCTGTCTGCTTGCTTGCTTGCCCGCCCATCTGAGTGTAGATGTTCACATCCCATTTCTGTCTTTGGGAACAGTCTCTCCCAAGAGAGCTGCCTTACCGGGTGACTTAGCTTGGCCTGGGGAGGGGAGGGGAGGGAGGGGATGGTGAGTGAGAGAAGAAGGGTGGGCAGGGGGAGCAGACTGAGATCCCATGTGGAATGGGGTCTCTTTAAGGGGTGGGAAGTAAGCAGACCAGGTGTGTGTGTGTGTGTGTGTGTGTATACACATGTGTGTGTGCGCCCGCACACGTGTGTGTGCGTGTGTGTCGCATATACACATGCGCTCGCACATGTGTATATGTTTGGGTATGTATGTACATGTATGTAACAGAGCAGGGGTGAAGATGGGAGGGGCGGGAGGGAGGGAGGAACTAAGGGGGGAAACTAAAAAATGAATTTATCTTTTTTTAAATGGAAATCAGAGAGTGGTGGTTCATGGCACTATTAGTTGAACATCAGGGTGAGCCCAGGAGAAGAGCCATGGAAATCACAAGTTTCCTTCTAGTTGGGTGAAAAGAAGGCCCAGGTAACTCAAGTCCCTGGTTTTCAGAGCCACATCTATTTTAGAAATTGGGGGCGGGGGGAATCATGAGAGAAAATGGGCATTGCCGACCTCTGTCTCTTTCCTCAGTGGTTGTCTTTAAGCAGATCTCCCTTTCCAGGGTGAGAGGGAAAAGCACTGCAGTGTGAGTGAGAGGTCATAGAGTGTGGCTGGAAAAGACATTCTTTACCAGGGTGCAACTATGCCTCAGCTGCCTATCCTGGTGGCCTTTCCCTCCCTGTTAGAAAGTTCCATGTTAATTTATTTCTTATGGTTATGGGCAATTATTTATTATTTAGACTTTTCATGTGTCTTTTTTTTTTTTTTTGGTGGCAGGGAAGTTAAGGTTAAGGAAGGTAGGAGATAGGGACGTTTTGAGATGTACTAGACCCCATAGCTGCTGGTGAAAAAAAATCCTGAGTGGGTGGTGAATTTAACAGGGAAAGAGAGTTAGGTTTGACCCAGGGTTAGATTAAACAACTATGTTTTGGAGAGATGTGACCTCTCAGGAAGATCAGGGAATTCTGAGACTGGATAGTTAATGGTGGTGAGACTCATTCTATAGAGATTGAAACTTGGGATCATGGAGTTTGCTGTTGAGAAGTAAGTGACCCCCCCAGTTTGGAGCTGTGTCCTGCTGGAATGATAGAGGTCAGCTCTATGCTGGATAGTGAAACTATGGATAGGCAGCTGCTGGGTTGAGGGAATGGACCATTGATTTCCTGTTAGGAAGTGTTTCAGCTTCCCCAGCTTATCAGGTGATCATTGCAGGCCTGGCGTCTGCTGCCTCCATCTTCTTTGAAGGAGCATGGAGGAATCCTTCCTCTGTAGGAGCCTTAAGTCTGGCTTTTGCTTTAGAGAACCTGAATACATTAGTCATTCTGGCCTCTCCTTCCTTGTTGCCAGTGCAGGGAAGGAGCTTCTAGTCCTTAAACACTGGCTGTCTTCTATTGTTATATCCTGTGTCCTGTTGTCTCCATCTCCTTCCTCCCATCAAGACTTTGCCAGGCAGTCTTTATGATGAATAAACTTGTCTGGCTTTAGAACTTTACCACCTGTCTGTTGCTCCCCATTGGCTGGGTAGCTGCTGCACTTGCCTCTTCCAGCCCAGGAGGTTGCTTAACCTGCATCTCTACTGACAAGCCCATTCCATTGTTGGAGGGCCTAGCAAACTTTGGGATTTGTTTCCAGGGGAGAGATGGGGAGATGACTGATGGTGTGTGTGTGTGTGTGTGTGTGTGTGTGTGCGCGCGCGCATATGTTTGTTCATTATACAATAACACCAAAAGTGGAACTTAAGGCGCTTTCTGTTTCATAACACCCTGTCAGACACTTAACTCTTCTATTCATAGAAGCCTTAGATCTACAATTTAGCTATGCAAATTATTTTAATAATTTTAAAATAGCAGTTCCAACCAGTGCTTTCTCTCTCAGATGCGTCCCAAGAATGGATGGTGAAGGGATTCACTTGGAGTAGGCTCTCAGGTTGAGGCTGGTGCAGTAAGAGTAAGCTAGTCAGAACACACTCAGAACTTGAGTTACACTAATGTCTGTCAGCCCTGGAGCATTGGATCCTAGAGACGTGTGAGTGTGTGTGTGTGTGTGTGTGTGTAAAGGGATAGAGGAATATTTCTGTGTTCACTTACAGGAAGTCACTGCAGCATTCTCTTGAAAATCTAGAAACCATTTCAGCAGGAAACTTGATCGATTCACTAGAGGAATAGGCATTTGAAGTTGCCAGGATGCAGATGGGTGTCTGAGAGGCAGCACACACCTGTCTGTTCCCTACCCAGTAGTCGTTCCAGGGTCCAGGTCTTGCTTCAGCCCTGCAAAGGCCATAATTCTGGGAAGCTGTCCTGGCTAGAGAAGACTTTTAATCTGATAATATATGCTTCTATTATGTAGGGGGTGATGGTGAGATCATGAGAAACTGAATTGCAACTAGTTTCATGGGTTTTGTTGCTTCTTGTTGTTTTTAATGAACCTGAAAAAAATATCTCTGATTTTTCTTCTCTTATTATATGTGCTGGTGGGCAAATGTGCATGCACACCAAACATGAGCATGTGTGTAAGGGAAGCAGGAAATGTCTTAGAGCTAAGTACCATGTTTTACAGTTTCTTTGATCTGAAACATTTAGTGGTGGCTTCTACCTACCATCTAGGCCCAAGTCAGGGAAGGCTGGTGGTCCAGAGGGAAGGTAGAAGATCAGGCTTAGGCATTTTCCCTCACCATTGTCTTTCATGAAATGTTTTCAAGGGTCTCTCAAGTCTCATTCATCCTGCGTAGCCTAACTACTTTTCCTGAGGAACATAGTACTAAATGATTCAAGATTGCCATTTGTACTGATGCTTGATATCTTTTCTTAATATCTTTGTGGATAAAGACTGCTAGCAGAGATAGAGTAGCTATTTAAGAAAGAAAGCGAACCATGTTGGGTCAGATGTTTTTCTTTAGACTGGATATCTAATCTGTGAGTCCTTCCCTTTTGAGTTGTGCTGCTTAGGCCTCTATATTTTCTCCTGATTTAAGGATAATTCTGGTCCTTGGAACTCTCTTCCCCAGGAATTCTCAGTATAACTACATATGAAATGCCCCACTCTGGGAGCATAAAGTAAAGAGCTGGGGTAAGTTTTGCTGATTGGTTGAAACACAACCAAGTATCACAAGCAAGCTGTCGGCAGAGCAAGGCCTTCTACATCAATTTGTTTAAATCTGGCATTCCTTGCTCTGGGACTGCGTCCTCATCCCTTGGGGAAGGTCTTCTATGGACTTTACATTCCTTGTTCCTTGTGTTCCTGGATATGACTGCCTACTTCCCACTTTTCAGATGACCAGTCTCTCCCTTTGAGCCATGGCTTTCTGTGTACTCAGCCAAGTGGCTCTTCACCAAAACTCTTTTGAGAAGTTATCCTTTCTCCAAAGGACCCCCAGAAGACTTTCTGGCCCTTTGCTGACTGGTCCCAGGAATTCGGCACCTCAAGGCCTGAGAATGCTGTGCTCTCTGTTGCTCCCATTTAGACTCAGTTCTTCTTTCTGCCTTTTCTCTTCTGCCGCTGTGGTCCCTCAATGTCTGTTCTCTGCCACTAGTTTGGCTCTAGGCCTTTTATGAATACCTGAGTCTTTACAACGATGAACTTCCTGAGCAGGCAGTGTCCACCTTCTTTACTCTTCAGGGACCTGAGTCTGTTCCTTTCCCCTCTCATAGGTCTGTTTGTTGGAGTCATCTAGTGCAGTGAGGAGAGGTAGCCAGGCAGGCTGCAGAATCTGCAATGCAGAGGGCTAGGGGAGGTTTGGGTTCTCTGCTACTACTGGGATGATATTCAGATGAGAGGGGACCTCATACTGTGACCTGACCCAGGACCCTCCCTAGAAGAGAGCTTAGCCCAGCTGTGTTTGAGTGAGTGAGTGTGATAATGTGTGTGCACATGTGTGCTCATGTGCACCTGGGTGTAAAATGACTGTTATCTGGTTGTGTTACTCAGGGTGGGCTGGGGACTAACCAGAAGAATCCCCCAGGCCTGCCCAAGACAGGTTTTTTTTCCTTGTACCCTCTTCAGAGGGATCAGGGGAAGAGGGTCCAGGTGGGTTGAGGGGGTCACAATGGATAACCACTAAGGCCACACTGCTGCCAGGGGTAAGGGGTAGGGTGGGATGGGGGAGATGGCCCTGGCACCTGGCTTTGGTTTTCCGTCTTCTTTCCTCAGGACGCCCCTGAGGCCTGGGACCTGCGCCTGGCTTAGAGAAGCATCTGTGGCTGGGTGATCCAGCTGCTGGTGTGATCATGGGCTTCCCTCCTCTCTCAGCAGGACAGGCGCTTCTGCCCCAGAGACTGGGCAACTGGCTGTTTCTATGACGTATTTATTTTTACTTGTGTTTCATGTCACTTTTTTAAGAAAAAAAAAAAAAAACAGAACAATTGTAAGTCAGTATAACTGCCTATCAGTTTTCTTTATTTCTCTTTTTGTAAAATAAAATTTAAACTCAAGAAGGCAGTGTTGTCTGATTAAGGAATTGTCTGGACAGCTGATTAGCTGAGTGTTGGTGAAAATATAACACCATAGTGGCACTGGGACAGCACTTGGGGGGTGAGATAGATGGGAACAGAGGGAAAACTGCTAGCAGGCTCTTTGTTGGCAGTGAGGTTCACTGCTTTTTTCAGCCTTTGTTCACCTGAAGAGGTTTGGGTACCCTCTGTTACCCTCCATTTTCCAGGCTCTCAGGGAAACAGCAAAATGGTCATTAAGGCTAGTTGGTCCTCAGCCATGGCAAGTCCTATAGGGCAGCCCTGTCTAGGCTGAGTGGCTGGGGATTGGGCCAGCATCAGTGGGAGGTGGGAGATGGTGTGTCTATGAGTGGCTAGTGGCATTGTCAGAAAGCAATCTTACACTGCATGTGTGTTCTCTGTCATCTGAGTTAGGACTCTAGCCACTGCCCACAGAAAGCTAACCAGGGCTTTCAGTGGGAGGAGGTGGGGAGGGAGGGGATAGTCCACTCTAGCTCCCCTAGTTTCATTAAGGGAAGGAATCCTGGGGAAATATTATATGGAAATTAGGGAGAATAAAAAGAGCCTATGTGGGAATTCCTTAGATGGAAGGCAAAAGGAAGGCCAAGTCTAGGCTCATGACAGGGTGATATGTATTATTGGAGCTGGGACTGGGAGTGGAAAGTGTGTAGGATAAAGACTGGATGAGCAGGTTTCAGGCATATTGCAAGGGGTGAAGAAAGTGCCTTGCAAAGCAAGCTGCTGACTCCTAGTGGCCAGCCAAGGCCTTTCAGAGATATTACCAAGGTGGTGTTTACACTGTTGGAAGCAGTGGGGAGTTGAAGCCTGGCAGACTGATGGCTACAGTCCTAGTGGAAAGCTAGCTCCCCTTCCACAACAGAGTTCTGAAGCTCCTAAGGCACACCCTGAACTTGATTTCCCACCCCAGCTAAAGGAACTGGGCAGAGAGGACAAGGTGAGAAAAGGCAACTTTAGACTTTTCCTGGAAGAAGCTCATCAACTTCTGAGAAGTAGAATTGATGGGCAAACCCTGTAGGCAGAGACTGTCTCTGAGCCAGTGCCATACTCCTCGTGTCACAGAAAATACTTCCAAATGTATACCTAATAGTCATGTGCTTGATTTTCATCATTAGAACCTGCTGGCCTGGCCCTGAGTTAGGGGACCAGCTGCCCATTCTGCCAGTCTCCCCAGGGTTTGGGGACAGACTTAGCCCTGTGGATAAGATTTAGTCCCCTCTGCCTGTAGAAAGAAGAAATGTGAAGCAGACAGAGGGGGGGAAAGCCAGGATTATGACTACCTCTGTGGGACCAGCCTGCCCTTTGCTGGTGTTGTAGTGGGATTCACAAGATACACTGCCCACATGGCGTTTGACTTTTTCTATAGCCACCTTCATTGTGTTCCCTTTAGAGTGATCCCCCTTCCAAACTGCAGTCCTCATCAGAAGGACCAAGACTGTCCTTGGCCCAGCCTGTCTTGTTTATAAGCAGGCTTATGAGGGTAGTTGTCTCCTTCCCCACCTCCTTCACTGTAAACCTAGGCTTCTCAGGCTACCAGGGCTTTATCTTGGGCACCTAGCATAGTGCTTTATGGTTCTGAGATAGAAGCTGAAGATTGAACCTGTCCTCAAGGAATTCGCAGTAGGTTAGGCTAAACCAGGTCAGAGTAGCCTTCCCCAGCCACATCCAGGGTACTGGAGGAGACTAAGGGAGGAATTCCCCTGGAACTAGCTCCAAGAAGACGGGGATTTGGTTTTGTTCACTCAGTATCCCCAGCCCCTAGAACTGTCTGGCAGGAAGTGGTACTTGATAAATGTTGGATGGGAGAATGATTATTCCTGTGCCCACTGAAGGAAAGTTAGTAGGGGGTGAGTGGAAGCCAGAAGCAGATGTTTATGTTGTTGAGAGGTTGGATCCACTAGTTTCTCCCCTGAGCCCAGAATGGGATTGAGCTTCTATAGCTTTAAAACGGAAGCAAGTGGCCTTGTGTTGCTTGGTTCCCAAGCATGTTATGAAACCTCAATTAGATAAACTGGCCAGAGTTAAGGGTTGTACCAATGCTAGAAGTTGACATTGCTGTGTCGCACCTTCCTAACCTGTACAAACAGTTCTCTACAGTCCGGTTTCCCGGACCCCCGCCTGACCCTTTATTGCGGGCCACCAGGCTGACTTCCCCCGCGTCTGGAGCTGGGCTGTCGCTATAGAGCTTCCGCCAACCCAGATACCCTGGGGTGTTGTTCAGTCAACCCTCGGCAGCCCGTTTGCTTGCTGGAGGCGGGAAGGTACGCTGTGGGCTCCACCCCAGCCAAGTCCCTGGGATTGGCGCGCCCGCGTTGCTACGGAGACGGGGCGGGGCCGCCCCCTGGGTCCCGAGCGCACGCGCCCACGGCCACGGCCACGTCCCGCCGCGAGAGGGGGCGGAGCGAGCGTGAGCGGCGGGCGCGCGCAGGCTCCGCGACCGATCCGCGAGCTGCCTGTGTAGGGCGGCGTCCGTGGGATGGCTGCTGAGGTGAGGGCCGGGCCATAGAGGCGTCCCCGCCGGGGCGTGGGCCTGGGGCCACGGTCCTCCCAGGCGTGACCTCAGGGCTCCCCGCGACCCTTTCGTGGCCCCCTGCGACCTAGGCCACCCTTTGCATATCGTCTTGTCCACAGCTGGCCCCGGCCAGGTCCGAGGCCCTGACTGCGACTTTGGGCCAGCCCTTCCCACCTTAGGTCACCCACTATCTCAGTCGCGGGTACGGGGCTTGTCTAGGGGCAGTGGAGCTGGGGAGGAAACGGAGGCATGAGTCACCTTTCAAGTCCATCTAATTCACGAGGCCGCGCCTCGCCGCCCCGCTGCAAACTTTAACGTCCCTTAAGTTGGAGAGGTGCGTGGAGCTACAAGAGCCGTGAGCGGAGAGAAAGAGGCTAGACATATAGTCAAGGCTTCGGGCCAGCAAGGGCTGGAAGCCGAGAGCGAGAGGCGGCGCTCTCTAGAGCGCGCGGGCCCCTCAGAGCCGCTGTCTTGCCTCTTAGTTCTAGAGCCAAAGTTTTGCCAGCGCGGGGCCCTTTAAGGCCGGCCGTCCAAGGACCGGCCCTCCTCCAAGGCGCATGTGAGCGGCCTCAGGAAGCTCGCGCCGGCCGCCAGCCCCCATACTCACCCAGCCCCCATGCACACCCGCTTGAGTGGTTAGGCGCCTGAATCTGGGGCCTCTGATCCGAGGGTAAACTGAGGCCAGAGAAAGGGCACATCCTTCCCAAGGTTAGTGGCAGGGCTGTTTGGGCACCAAGGTTGGTGGCTGGAACCCACCAGGAAGAGGGGTATGAGGAAGGCTCTAGAGAAGATCCAGACGTTGTGAGGGTGGGTTTGGCTTCTGATTTCCCCGAGGATTTGAGTATGGGGTGGTGGGTGCTTGCAGAGGTCCTGGTGGGCTTTCCTTGGGAAGGGGTTAGTCAGGGCGTGGAGCCCTGCCCAGTGGTTATTTCCTGGGCTGGAGTGACTCTTCCTTTCTGCCCCCAGCACTGGAGCACTTGGCCCCTGCTGCGCTGGATGCCATGAGTTGCTAAAAGTGAACCTGGCTTTTCAGGTGAGCCTCCCCAGCCCTTCTTCCCTTTATCTTTTGTGTAAGGGGGAAATTAACATTTCCCTTCTTCCTTTCTACGTGCTTTAAAGCTCTGCTCCCACACCCTGCAGGAACATTTACCCCCTTTCTGAGCGGTTTGGGAGAGGCAAAAGAAAGGTGGGAGTTAAATTCCTTTGAAATAGAGGTGTGCAGCAGAGAGTAGCACAGAGTAAGGGCTTGTCACTCCCAGAGCAATCGGTGTCCTTGATGCTGAGAGCTTCAGGTCTTGAGTTCAGAGATGTCCAACCTGGATTAAATGCTTGGGATTTTCTGGAAGCCAGTCATCAGGGAGGAGAGAGAAATTGGAAATGGGGGCTGGGTCATGCTGCTTGGGTTCCCATTGCTTACATTTTGGTTCAGGTGACTGTTAATACCTGTGTGATCTTGGTCAAGTAGCTTAATGTTACTTGAGTCTTTGGGTGAAGGTGATGGCCTCCATGATTCAGTAGAAGAGGCTAGCTAGGCCACCCGTCCCAAGATGACAAAGACTAGAGTAGAGGTGAAGAGCAGGAAAGAAACTTTAATCAGCATGGCCACTTAGGGAAGGACAGATATGAGGGTACTGTGACCAAAGGTTTGTTTTCAAGGGAAAATTTTAGGGTTTTAAATTTTAAGGGTCTTGCATGGTTGGGGAATTTGCATAGTTAGTGGAGTAAGTCATCCTAGTCAGGCCATGGTTGATGATTATCTGAGGACTGGTTCTGTGAACTTCCTGGAAGGTCAAAATTGTAAAGTCATCATCACTTGAACGGGCAGTTTGGTTCTCATTGTGAGATGATTACTCCTGCTTTGGGGGCAGCCTTGGTTTCCTCATGGAATAATTGTTCCCACTAAGGGGAGCAATTTCATTTTGAGATGATGCCTTGACTTTGCTTGAGGTAGTATCAGTCCTTTTTCATAAAGAAATTTATCAATTGAGCCTGTTCCTGGAATCCAAGGTAGCTGAAGGAGGAAGTAGCTCAGAGTGGGGAAAAAATAGTTAAAAGAGGAAAATGGAGTCAGAGAGGGACAAAATGAATTTAGTTATTTAGGTTAGTAACTGGGTCCTCATTCCGATATTTCCAACCACTTGTTCCCTGATCTATACTTAGTTTGTTGAATTGTTCTGGGGATTAATGAAGTAGCTGTGTTTCAGCATTTCGACAGTGGTGTGTGTGTGTGTGTGTGTGTGTGTTAAGTACCCAAATCAACTGGAGATAGAATGAATAGGACAGGGAATGCATATAAAAAAGATAATGAATCTGATGGTCAAGAGCACCTGTGAGTGAGAAGACCTGTGGGAGGCACTTCATTATGATACAGTAGGATTATAAGTGTATGAGACTTCTTTGAGATGCAAATGCTGCATGCTCTTTGACTTGAAAAATAATGTTTTAGCATACTCTCTTCACATTCACAACCTACAGGGACCAACCTTAGGGATAACTTTTCCATAGGGCAGAAGCATTGCCTTTTCAGCTCCAAAACTTTAAAATTTTAAATATTAATTTTATAATATTAATTTTAAATAATTGGAGTGGGGGTGTTCCCCCAGTAGGTCCCATGCTCCCTTTAAGTAGTTTTCTGGATACTGTGATCCCTCCCTTTATGTTACTGTGCGTAGCCTGTTTTAAAAAGCGCATTCGGCCTCAGTCTCTAAGTTGCTGGGAGGCCTAGACAATCTGTCTCACCTCTGTGGCTCTTGAGCCTATTCCTGTATAGCTTTTTTGCCTCTTTTGAGTAACTGTTACTTCCCTGTCTTTTTGTGTTTCTACTTGTACCAGCCTTTTCCTCTTACTTATTGTTTATATTCTGTGGGCTGGGAAAGAAGAGTGAAGCTGTTAGCATTGGTGGTTCGAGTATGGAAAGTTTAGGGCTGAACTTTGTTCTGGGTGCTCAGGCTGTTTTGCTTTGACTTCTCCTCTGGTTCTGGATGGGTGAGCTTGCTGGATAGCAGGGTCCCTGCAGGACAGATATACTTATCAAAGGAGAGTTTCCTATGAAAAGTCTCCTATGACACATTTTCCCCCTAGGGTTTTGTTCCTTATGATTTTCCTATTAATAAGTGTTTGGATCCTGATGCATGTCTATCCTGTGTCCTCTGAAAGTAGTGCCTGAGGCTTGGGGAGTCTGGGCTGGCAATTGGGCTCAGCTGTGGGAAGGAAAAGGCACTGTGGGGAAAGGCTGCATTGTGGTGTCTGGCCTATCTTAGGAGAGGCTGATCAGGGCCAGGAGTATATCCCTTGCTGATTCATTCTTCTGTCCCTCTATGACACAGTTTGCCCAGGTGTGACCAGGGCTGTTAGCTGCCCGACAGAACTTCTCTGAGAGCGTCAATGACTGTGATTAAGAAATAAAGAAGCTTGTGGCTTCAGTCATCCTTTGTAGCTCCCTTCTAGGTCACCCTATGTGTAAACACCTCTGGCCCCTCCCCCTTCTGGGTCAGAGCATCCAAGACAAGGCTAAGGTTGGGCCAGAACCAGCTGGTGGGTGGGTGGGCACAGTCAAAGCAGGCTACCAGCCTCCTCTCTCTTCTGTCTCCTTTGCAGCTGCCTTGGGGTGCTGTGTGGGAGGCCCAGAACCATGTCGGACCTGCTACTACTGGGCCTGATTGGGGGCCTGACTCTGCTGCTGCTGCTGACATTGCTGGCCTTTGCCGGGTATTCAGGGTTGCTGACTGGGGTGGCAGTGAGTGCTGGCTCACCCCTCATCCGCAACATAACTGTGGCCTACAAGTTCCACGTGGGGCCCTATGGCAACACTGGGCAGCTTTTCACGGAGAGCTGCAGTATATCCCCTGAGCTCCGCTCCATCGCTGTCTACTATGACCACCCCCACATGGTAAGGAGTCTCCATGGGATTCTACTCCACAGATAGACCTGGGTCTGGGCTTAGTGGGGCAGAGGAGTTTGGGTTTCTGGGGGAAGGGTGGGGAAGTCTTTGAGTTGGCCTTGTAGACCATCTCCTCTCTGAGCTTGAAGCCTCTTCCTTATTTAGCTTGGACTATTGCTTTAGGTATCCATTAGCTGACTTTTTATTTGCCCAGGTCTGGTTCCCTTTGCTCATGGCTACTTTTAAGTTATTTATTTATTAGTTGTAGTTGGACATAATATCTTTATTTTATTTATTTATTTTTATGTGGTGCTGAGTATTGAACCCAGGGCCATGCACATGCTAGGCAAGCACTCTACCACTGAGCCACAACCCCAGCCCGACTTGTAGATTTTTGGAATTAGTGGAATGTATTACTGTAAGTCCCTAGTTTCCACTTGTCCTTCTGCCGCCTCCTCTTGCTGTGCCTTTTCTGTGTCCATTTGGGGCCAGTGCGTTAAGGCCAGGCAATTCAGATTCTGTCCACTCTGGGGGATTACATCTTATTTCTGTGCTTTCACTCCTTCAGTTCTCCTGCTATAGTGAGAGGGCAGCCCCCAGACATGGGGCTTGGAATCCTACCTCTCCAGCCATGATAGTGTTTTCCAGTTCTCCTGATGATGTATTTCCTTAGACATCAAGCTCCTGGTTGAGAGTAAGATAAGTGGAGCCAGAGGAACTACTCAGAATGTCCAGGATGCTGGGGTCAGAAATGAACCCAGCATCACTGGCACTCTGTGGGTGTCCGGCTGTACTATAGCCTACAGTGAGTCAGGGCTTGCCAATGTAGCCTCCTGCCATGCTATGGGGTGGTACTGCCCACAGGTGGGTGAGCTGGCAGCTCTGCTAAGGGTTGTTCAGCCTTCATTTCTGAGCCATGCCAAAGCAAGTATTTATGAATCCCTAGCTCTGATTTCCTTGTCTGGAGAGCACAAGTGAGCAAACATTATGGCCTACCCACTATTGGCTGACCGGGCATCACTGGAGTAATCGAATGAAACGGGGTATGCTGATTCCCTCTCTCTGCCAGGTTCTACTCTATACCTATACTCAACAGATGAATCAGATCTGGTCCTGACCTCAGGAGATTGTGTAGTTGGCAAGTCAGCCTTTTACAAATGATTCTTCAATAAGGCCTGGGTTCGGTGTCCATAGAAGTTTGAGCTATAAAGGCCTTGACTTTGTTGGGAAGATTTAGAGAAGAGGTGGATTTCAGTTGGGCTTTCCCACATGAGTAGAATTTGGCTCTGCTACAAAGAGCCACATGACTAAGAAAACTGTAGGAACAAAAACTTGGAGACATGGAATTAGAGGGGAAGTGAGGCCAGTGAGCATGTGGTGGATAGAGAAAGTAGTGGAAAGATTCCCTGATCCATGTAGTGGGGAGGTGCAGCTGGTTGAGAGAAAGGGAATGGCATTCTTTGCCACTTTCGTCTTGGGAAGCTAATTGGAGGACAGGTGGAGGATGGAAAGAGATGAGGCAGGGAGGCCATTAAAGAGATTGAACTGGGCCCAGGTGAGAGATGATATAGGTAGTTTGAGAGATGAGTAGACACTAAGGTTTCATAGTCACATGGCTGGGAGATAGCATTATATGAAGATGGGAGCATTGGGGCCCAAGTGGGATGGCACAGGTGCTGGGCTGTGGGCCTCACCTTCAACCCTGCTTAGGGTCTGTTGTGTAAGTCCCTGCCTCTCCTGCCACATCTGGCCTAGATAGAACCCCTCTGCAAGGCCAGAGGAGGGAGGAAGGAGGAAAATTCCTGTAGCTGCCTCTTTTCTTCTCAGTATATCTTCATGTCCTTGAAGTAGCACATTGCCTCTTTGGTAGGAGATCCTAATTCCAAGTTGGGAAGGGCCAAGGCATCAGATATTCTGGGGCCAGTGCTGGAGGCTGGGCCAGGGAAGAATGAGATAGAAGAACCCTGATAAGAGAGACTCTCCCGATGACCCTCTGGCCTGGCTACTGCTTCTAGATAGCTCACCATGCAGCTCTCCCTGAGATGTGGTGGACTCCATAGAGTGGGCCCTGGTTGTCCAGGGTTGGCTGGAAATAGTCTGACTTAGGTGCTTGTCTAGGGGGCCCTGGCCTGAGAGCTAGCCTTGAAACTGGCAGTCCTAGGTTCTGATTCTATCCCATTGCTATCCTGCTGTGCAGTCTTGGGTATATCACATAATCTTTCTGAGCATCTGTTTCCTCATCTGCAGGGTAGTGGTAAAATACATGTTTCATAGGTAGGCTGACAAGGGCTTAGTTAAGTGATACAGGTGAGGTCTTCACTTCAGTGCCTGGTGATCAGTGGATGTTTAACAATGACAGAGAAAAAGGTGGAAAAAAATTAGCATGTGCTGAGGGGTCTAACCCTTTGTCTGGCTATAGACATCTGGCTAGCTGTGGACTCATCACAGACGATGAATGAGCAGGTGAAGGTGGCCTCTCTGATTCTGCTCCTTCTAGTACGGTCTCTCAAGAAGATACTTGTGTCCATATTCAGAGTTGACTCACACCCTGGCACTTGGGATGGCTCAGGGACACTTGGGTTTCTACCTACTCTGGGAGCTGGGCAGTGCCTTCTCTGCCTGATGGAGATTATAAAAGGTCTTGGGACCCATGAACTCCCAGGCTTTAGGTTCTCATAGCTTTCTGGTCTGGAGGGCTCTGAGGCCTCCTGGTCACACTTTGATACATAGAAGGAGAGACTGAGGTGCAGAGAGCATTTTCTTGTTTTCATTCAACAAACATTTGAATACTAGATGTGTGCCACGCTGTGTGCTGGGCAGTGATGTGCCATTGGGACCAAGGAGCCCAGCCTTTAGGACCTCTCAATGTGGAGGTGTCAGGGAGACCTGGAGGGAGGTCCCATTCCCATCCTAGGCTGCCTCTGCTAATTTGGTCCAGCAGGGGGCCCTGTGTATTCTGATTCTCTGAGAAAGACAAGATAAAGGCTGACCTGTTGAATGTCTCACCTCAGCTCCTCCCTCCCCAGCCCAGCATAACAGGAGTCAGAATGTGGTTTCTGAGTGCGGAGGAAGGAAGGCTGTTTCACACTCTGAGGGTGGAGTAGTAACCAGGTAGACATACCACCTGGCTTTGGCTGCCCCCCCTATAAGATATGGACTGATAGCTGTGCTCCCTAGCCACACCCTTTCCTGGCCTAAGTTGGTCAGCCAAGAGATTGGTCCCTGAGAAAGGTCTGGCAAAACCCCACTTAGGCCAATTCTGGAAATGGCACAAGAAAGGATAGTGGCAGTTTCTGTGGACTCTTTTATATCAGATTCTGCTTGAACTCTCATCCCCTGTGTCCCAGAGTCCTGTATGAAAGGAGTCTGTGAGGTCTTTGAAAATGGTTTCTGTGAGGCAGAAGGAAGTTATTCCCTTTCTTATCTCTGAAGGCCGTGGCATGGCTGAGGGTGGGGAAGGGAGGAAGGAGGGAGTATGTGTTGGGAAGTGGACAGGCCCCAGAAGTGGCTAAAAGTGTTGCTCTCCCATCCAGGGTCCAGAATTTATGGCCATTTTCTTTTCAAGGTACCAGAAGGGTTGGGGCTGGTTCCAGAGACCTGTAGTCAGGTGTAGGTGGACCTGCCACACCCTTCATACACACTAGTCCACACTATACTTGCATAGTTAGGTCCTGGCTAGAAAAATTGCTCTGCCCCCAGCTCTGCTTTCAAGGTAGGTACTGGGGTTTTGGAAATTGACTTTAGCCTCCTCTTCTGGGCCTCGTCCTCTGGAAGCCTTCAGTGTTGGAGGGGAAGGAAATTGCTGGGTGGACCTTGTACACTTCCCTTGATCCTGTCCAGCTCTGGCCTTGGACAGGCCCTAGTGTCTGGTGTGCTCTCACCATGCCTGTAGTCTCTCCTGTCTCTAGCCTGTGTCTCTACCTTCTTTCTCACCCTCCACTGCCCATCTCTGCTGCTGTGTTTGGGGCTTAAGCAACCTGCCTGGATGAGGCAAGAGGGTGGAACAGCCAGTTGCATTTACCTGGCCCAGGCAGGCTGCATCTGCTGGTCATATTCACCACTCACAGGTGATACTTTCCCCAGACTTAGAGTAGATGGGGTACTGTGATGCTTTGAGTTCTGTCTTTAGGAAGCTAGACTGTGTCATTGAAGCTCCCTTTTCCTTTAGTTCACTGGCAGTCAAGATCTGGGGCCACCAAGTCTGCAAGGCCTGAGACTGATGAGAATTCTGAATTCTGTGTATGGGAGGCACTTAGGTCAGATAAAGTCTGAGAAGGGGTGAGGGAGTAGGATTTCCTAGGATTGACCTCCTCAACAGGGGCAAGAGAATATGGGCTGGGCTGATGCTTTCTGAAGGTTCAGGCTGTGCCTATCCCAATTTACCCTATAGTTACTTTCTGCTAGGTAGAGCCCAAATCTTTGCTCTGCAGCAGGTTTACTGTGGGACTATTCTGAAAAGGCAAACCCCTCTCTTCCTACTCAATCTGCCCATGGGAGATGTTGAGATGAGGTATGAGAGGAGAGGGTTTTGAATTCACCCTTCTGTGCATACCTGTGTATGACACTAGATGTGTTACTTGGCTTCTCTGAGTCTGTCTCCTTAGCTATCAGATGGAGATGAAAGAATCTCTATATTAGGGTTTCCTTTTTTGTTGTTGTTCATTTGTATGTTTTGGTGTTGGGAACTGAACACAGGGCCTCTTGCACATTAAGCACATGCTCTACTATTGAGCTATACCCCTAGCCCAAAGTTTTTGTTTTTGTGGGAACTAAATGATGAGGATAAGTCCCAATACCTGACCCCAAATAGGTGCATAGCACCCTTGACATCTATCCCTGCCTCTCAGAGCTTTGTAGGCAGAGCCTTTGTATCTTTAGGAATCCTGCCTACCTCCTGCAGGTTGCCTGAGCTGTGTGAGGAAACAGTTCAGGGAAAGGTCATTGTGCAGCCTGTTCCTAGCCAGAGCCTAATTCTCAGACTTCCAAATGGGAGTGGGTTGTGTAGTGCAACTCTGAAGATGGTCTGCTTAGATTTGAATTTTAACACTAACACTGTTTTGCTGTATGACCTTTATTGAGTGGCTTGGGACAGGGTTGGGTCTCAGGGGCAGGGTTGATAATAGCATGTACCACACATGGCTGTTTGGATTTGATGATTTTATATGTGGAAGGCAGCAGCTGGGGCAAAATGGTGAAGCATTGTTAGGTATCAGCTGTTGTTAGAAGTATGCTTCTTAGAGGGGCTGTTTCTGAAATAATTCTATGTGGGAACTCAAGAAGCCCCAGAACCCCGTCTTTGAGAGTTGACATCTTGCTGAATTCTCCCTTCTGTCCAAGCCTAAAGTATGTGGGTCCTGACTTCTGGCCTGGCTGACTTCATTAGCCCATGTGCTGAATGGTGCTTGCCTTAGTGTGCCTGGGCACGAGCTGCTCAGGGAAGTTGAACACACAAGGCTTAGTGTGTTGACTTGCAGCATCCATGACAATGAAAGAGGCCTACTGTCTAACTTGTGTAATGGGCAGGTGTTGCTGCTGTGTTACCCTGGGAGTACCAGTGCAAGTGAAGGGCACTGCCTCTACTTTTTCCTTTACCTTGGGTGGAACACTCTGAGTTAGGTGGGCTGGCATAGGAGGGATTAAGGAAGCCCTCTGGGCCTGGGCCTGGCAGATGTGGCAGCTGTCCTGATTGATTGTACAGGTTGTGGACCTAGATCTGTCCATTTCTACTGAGGCTAGTTAACACCATTTCTCTTTTCTGGATCCTAGAAGTTTCTCTTATCTGGTTCTTATACTCAGTGACTTTCTGAGGTGACTTTCTTCATTGGCCTTACAACATGGGGTCATAGGGACCTGTGAGACCACTAGAACGGGTTGTAGTGCCAGCCTTAGAACCAACTCAGACCTGGAAGCTTGAGGTTTCAGACAGACTGCCCTATTCTCACATTCCTGGGGCTCAGGAGACTGCACAGCCCAAAGGAGATGCATTGGGGCCTAACATGCCCTTGTCTCTTTCCTGGTATTCTTACTTTGAGGGCGGATCCTGGGTTGGCTTTCCTTTTCTCAAAGTGGTGATGGATTTGACCATTGCCCTCTTTCCCTGGTGTGGTTCCTGACTGGTACATTTCTGGTCAAGCTGTTCTTCTGTGCACAGGTGCCCAAGTAAATGGCATATATGGGGAAGAAAGGGAGCATGCAGATGGGAGGCCCAGACCTTTATCCTAGGGTTAGTTGCTAATAAGGGTGTTTCATTGAACCAAGGTGGATGAGGTCTCTTGTCATCAGGAAATAGGCCCTTGGTTACCTTAGTAAGCAATTTTCTTAGAGGTGTACCTGGGCTTTCCTGGGAGTCTGGGAAGCTTTTCTCTGTTACTGGAATATCCTTGCCACTCCCTGGATTATTTTAGGGCCTGTCCTCTCTTCCTTGCTCTTTCCCAACTCCAGCTTGGCATAGGGCTGCTTAGCAGATGGTGGGCTTGCTGAGGGATTGCCTGTACTGCAACCAGCCACTGACTGGGGCCTGGGAAAGCATAAGAAATGTCCTAACTTATGGAATTAAGAGATTGCTCAAGCAGGAAGGGAGGCCCTGTGCCCTAGACACCTCCAGAATCCTGGGAGCTCTGTCTCTATTGTTTACCTCTCTTCATAGTGGCAGAAGCTCTTCATTTTCTTCAGGTAGAAGGAAAGGAGGCTTGATTATTGTGCACAGCTTATATGTGCAGCAGTGTGCATGTATGTACCATCACTGAGCATACCCAAGGGACTTTCTGCGTATTCAGGGATACTGGAGCTTTCTGCTTTGAGACCTGGAGTGTGGTGGGGAAAGATGGGGAGGCCTCATTATAATGTAGCTCAAGACCTGCTTCCTTGGTAGGTATTTGGGATCAGAGGAGGGGTAGCTTGGTGGGGAGCAACAGAAGGCTTCAGGGGGGAGGGTTGAGTCTTATAAAATGGATGGGAGTTTTCCAGGCAGAAGGGACTCTGGAATAGGGTGAGGAGGGATGTTTTGGGCAGAGGAAGTAGCATATAAGAAGGCAGGAAGCATGGGAGGACGTGGAATGTTTGACTGCAAATAGTTCCTTGTGGCTGTGTGTAGGGGTGTGGCAGGAGAAGAGGATGGCAAGGCAGGCTAGGCCAGAGCCTGGATCTGTTCCTCCCTCTACCACCTAGATACTCAGTGGGTGCTTGCCCATCTAGGTTCTGTCCCTTTCTTGGGTCTGGTGCAGCAGAAGGAATGTGAGATGAATGTGTAGACAAGTCCAGGCAGTATTGTATGGGCCACTCTAAAAGAACATGCTGGACTTGGGGGTTTGGTTTCATTTTAGAGGTAAACTGGGAGCCATTGAGAGACTCCAGTCAGGGTTATCTTTTATGTGTGTTCTTATGCCTTTGGGATATTGAAGAAGGTGTTGAGCTGGGCGTTCCATGATTTCCTGATTCCAGGAAAGACCTAGGACCCGGTTAAAGAGTAGAGAGCAAGTAACCTTCCACTCATTCATTTCTCCCTCTAACCTATATTGGTTGTTTCTTTTGCATGACATTAGGATATGCAAGTAGGCTTTGTGACAGGTACAGCCCTTTAGTTTGTTAGTGGAGGCCTGTCAGCAGAGGCCTATAGAGAATGCCTGTGGGAACCTTCTGCCCATCTGGCCATTTGCAAGTCTTAGGGTGTGAGTGGGACAAGTGCACCATCTAGAGACAAGAGGTGGTACTGCAGCAATCTCCTGTGCCTCTTGCCTGGGTAGAGTGGAAGGGGCTCCAGACCAAGAGAAGCGACTTGCTGTAAGTAGCTTTGATAATGGGCAAGAGAGTTTACAGTAAAATATTGAGGGATGGTATTTGCAAGAGGAGACAGTGCTAACAAGCTACCCTAAAAGGATCCCTAAGAGGGTGAGCCTTTGAACCAGTGGGTTCTGTAGGGATTGTATGTTCAGAAGTTAGAGTGGATAAGCATTCTAGGCCAAGGGACAGTTGTTGGGATGGTCGTATAGCTATGAATAAACAATCAAAGTTATGGAGTACTTGGTGAATACTGGGCCTAGGCTAAGGCCTTATGAAGTATTTCCTTTAATATGATAAGTCTATATGTAGATATCAAGGAACTGAGGTTCTAAGAGATGTGGCCAAGATTACATGACTCAGGATTCACACCTTGGCCATCTTCTCTCCAGCTGTGGTTCTGACCACTGCACCATATTTCCTGTCACCAATGCTGTGAGCCAGGCTTGATACCATAGGATTCAAGGGGACAGTAAGGGAATTAGAGTCATATAACTGGGTGATATTCTAGAAATGATATCCTGGAATAGGCGCCCAAGTTCCAGGCAGAGCATGATTCTAAGACAGGGCTGGGTTGATCAGAGTAGAGGAGGTAGATCAGGGCTGAGAAAGCCCTAGAGGATTGCTGACAGGGCTTATAAAGGGCTATAATGGGAGGGTAGAGGCAGTCAGGTAATGACCTCACAGTTGTGGGAATGTGGGTTGAGGAGGAGGGTAAGTGGAGATAGAGGAAATGACTTGCTTGAATTTAGGGGTCAGTAAGCTCTGGGTATGGGGAGAAAGGAGCCTTTAGATTTATCAAAACCCAGAATTGAAAGTTCAAGAACTGTGATGAGTGTCCTGGAGTCAGGAACATGAACCCATGGGGGCCCAGCCTGAAAGCTGGTACTGACTTAAATGACAGGAAAGTGGACATGGGAAACAAATAGCAGGAGGTGAGACAGACTGAGGCTTCCTGGTGCTAGAAGAAGTGAATACTAGCCTTGAAAGCTCTGGGTCAGTCCTAGAAAGTGTTGAAGAACATAAGAACTATGTGAACCTCTCTGTCCATCTGGCTAGGGCTTTTGAGTGCCAGGGAAGGAGTATAGGAGGGACAGAGAGAGAAGGATAGGAAGTGTAGACACTAGAGGCCAAGAGACTTGGAGGGAACCAGAATTCTGGGGCTTAATCAGGGAGGGACTTGGAAGGTGGAATAGGTCCCAGGATGGGGCATAGATTGGAGAGGAGGTCTGGAGGCCCTGTGCACCTGGAAGAAGATTCCCTTACAGATTTTTTATCTGCTACTCAGAGTTCAGTGTGATCCTACTTCCTGCGGAGTACTTTTCACAGTCCCTCCTCAACTAGATGCCAGGTCCCCAGTCTGGCCTGTAACCTGCATGAGTACCTGTGTACACACACATACTTGCTTTCCTGGGACATGACTAGGAAAGCAAGCTGTGGGCTCTTCAGTTCTGCTCCCTTGCCTGCCATAATTTCTCTGCCATTGAAGCTTGCTTCTATAGGTAATGGGAGAGAAACATGCTAATTGGGCTGTGTTGGATCCAAACTTCAGGATCAATGGACTATAGTCCTGCTAGAACCCTACAATTGGGGGCTGATAGAAGGTCACATCAAAAAGATGGGAGTAACCTCTGAATCATGCTGTTGATGGGCCATTTTGAGGATGGCTCTCTGTCCTTCATTCTCTTGGGGTACAAAAACCAAGTCTGATTCCTCACTATGACCCTTATGTCTCCAATATGGGGCATAGCATATTTGTTGAAGGAGTAAATGAAGGGTGGAAGAGAGTCTTGCAGCAGGATGCATAGGTGGACCTTGGTTGGGTTTTGGCAGGAAAATGGCCAGCTTTATTCTGGTACCAGGGGCTTTGTGGCCTTTGGAAGCAGTTGGTTCTCCCAGGCCTAAGCTGGCACAGACCCGGGAGACAGGAGGTCTGAGGGTCTCCTTTCTTTGCCCAACTCTGACCCCCTGGTCTGCCTCCACAGGTGCCCCCTGAGAAGTGTCGCTGTGCAGTAGGCAGCATCCTGAGTGAGGGCGAAGTGTCTCCCTCCCCTGAGCTCATCCAGCTTTACCAGAAATTTGGCTTCAAGATATTCTCCTTTCCAGCACCTAGCCATGTGGTGACAGCCACTTTTCCTTACACAACCTCCCTGTCCATCTGGCTGGCTACCCGCCGTGTCCATCCTGCCTTGGACACCTACATCAAGGTGAGACACACTGGTATGTGTTTGTGAGGCGGGCATCAGCCAGATCCCTTGGGTGGGCATGGGAAGGACTGCCCAGGATGGGAGGAAGAGGTGGTTTGGGAAGAACAACACCCTAGGGTTCCATGAGAGCAGGTGCCTGTGAGACTAGGAAGATGGGCAGAGGCTATTGTCATCTTGTTCAGATGCCTAAGAACTTATAGGGACCTGAACATCTCCCAGGAGATAGTCAGTTTGGCTCTGGTTTGACAATATGTCTCTAGTGTTCATCCTGTACTCTGGGCTTAGATGGATGGACAGGTCCACTCTGTCCTGATTCTACTGGAGGCCTACTGAGCAAGGCCCTGAGATCTCCAGTGGCTAGGCAGACCCAGGTTCTCATTTTTTGCTCTGGCCCTGCCCCTCCCCCCCCCCCCCCCTCTCTTTTAGTTGTAAACGGACACAATATCTTTCATTTTATGTATTTATTTTTATGAGGATAGAACCCAGGGTCTCACACGTGCTAGGTGAGCACTCTGCACTGAGCTACAACCCAAGCCCTGACCTTGACTCTTTTTGACCTTATGCACCTGCTCCCTAAGCTCAGGACTGGGGCAGCAATAGCAAACCTCTCTCCTTCATTTCCTGATTTGGAAAGGAAGCAATGCCAGCAGCCTAGCCTGTGTTGAGAAAGGAGGAAAGCCAACCACCAGGAAACCTGACAGAGCTCTCTAAGTCAACAGAGTTCTTAAAAACTTGCTCTTTGTCCATTCTTGCTCCTATAACTTTTTTATAAGTTTAGGTGCTGGCAATATGATCTCAGTTTGGGCTTGGAAAAGATTGTTTAATCATTCATTTGACTTGTTTTTGAGTGTCTATATGCTTAATACTGTGTAGGTCACCATATGAAAAATTGGCGTATGGAATGGGCACTTATGGTGAGATGATTAAGTTAAGTTAGGTAATTAACGTCAGACAAAAATGGGATACACACTAGGAAACAACAGGTTGGGAAGGTCAGGGGACCCACTTGGATGGAGTGGTCAGGTACAGCGTCTCTGTGAAGGTCATCTCAAGGCAGAGTCCTACAAGAGCCTTTGGAGAGGAGGGCTCTCCAAAGAACATTCTGGGCAGAGCAGGGTAAGGAACAGGATCTAATGCATTGGGGAGCCATGTCTGTACAAGGTGGGCAGGATGGGACTGGATCATGGATCAGGGTCGGTTGGACATGCTCAGAGGGCTGTCATAAATCCCAGAGTGAATGATAGCTACTTGGACTGGGCCAGTGACTATAGAGATGTGGACCAACATTGTGTTTGCTCATCTATTTTGTGATAGAACTGGTGGACTTGGGATGGGCTAGCTGTTCAGAGAAGTGGCAGTGTCACAGAGGGCATTGCTTCCCTTTGGCATGGTCAGGTGGGTAAGTGTATAGTGATGCTTTCCATTGAGATGTGGGGACCTGGCCTTGGGGAAAACTGGCTCTGTGGGTGTGTCAGGAAACACATGGTGTCTCCTATGCTTAGGAGACATATTGGTGGGGATGTGGAGAAGGCTGAGTGATGGTGATGTGTGTAGAGTTTGGAGTTGAGAGAGGCCTGGGCTGGAGAATATAGGGACATAAGCATATTAATGGTATTTGATTTGGTAGGCTGCTGTGTGCCTCTTTGCTTCCGTAGGGCCAGAGGGCAGTGGATAGCCTGTGGCAACAAGGGCTGTATAAAGGGCATGGCCACTGTGGCTAGGGTCAGGGAACAGGTTAAGAAAGTCAGCAGGAGTGAGAGCTTGGCAGATTTGGGGGAACCTTGTGACTTTGTTCTCCAGAACAGCTTGGAACAGGAATAGGGCATTAGTGATGGAAATGGGAGCTTAGACAGATCCTAGGTAAAGAGGTGCAAAAGTCTGATGTCAGGGCTGGGGAACGAATAAATAAGGCCCCAGGTCACTGGCTGTGGTCTTGGTGGTCAAGGACAGACTGAAGAAGAAACAGTGGTAGGCAGACTTGTAAACAGGCAGACTGTCTAGGTTGTCCATGGTATTGTAGTGTTGTGGTGGTAGGGTGGAGGCCTGGAGAGGATTAAGGCAAATTTCTTTATGAGCTTGAGAGTGATGCTCAGAGAGTACTGGGAAGGATATGGTTTTCTGGGGCTGAAGTTGGACTAGAAGTGCAGAAATAGGGTGACAGTGAGTGTGGGAAGGAAGACATCAATCAGTGCCTTAGGCCTGTTCACATGCCACCTGAGGATGTCATGTCTTTCTTTTTTCATTCAGGGAGAGCTGGTGTGTGGTGTCTCTGGTCCTGTCTGTGCCATCCTCAACTTCAGGGGCTAATCTTGAGGAGCAGCCCTAGGAAGAGACTCCCTGGGTTCCAGACCTCAGAACAGGGCGCGTGGCATGTGGTGTGGTGGCGAGCAACTCAGCCACCAAAGCCTTTTCCCAGCGTTAGGGATTTATTTTTAGACACCTTTGTCCAAATTTCCCGGCCTCTGACAGCTTCACACGTTGCCTGGTTTTGACGTCACCTCTTTGATGAAAGCCCTTCCTCCTTCCTCCCCCTCCTGTGGGAGCCTGTCAGCTGTGCTCCAGGATCCATTCTCCTGTGGTGGGGGCTGGGACAAGGAAGCAGGGGTATTAGGGAGAGCCGAGGGCTTCTAGAGATGTCTGGAAGGCTTATTTATGTGGGCATTGCCAGTGGGACAGTGAGAGAGAGGCCAGGCTGCCCACTGAGGAGGCATAGCCCAAGGTCTTCTTTTTGTATTGGTGCTCCTGTGTTTAGTCTGACCTTGTGGCCTGGGGAACTAAGCTGGGGGAGAGATGAGGAAGGAGTTGCCTCTCTTTGCTGGTTATAGCCTACAGTCAGTGGAGACTGGCCTTTTATCTCTTTTAGCCCAGGAGACAGCAATAATAGAGTATAAGGCTGCTTCCCATCTCTGCCTTCTTCTCCATTGCCCTGTGGTCAGAGAAAGGAGGCTACCAATGATATTCTGGATGCTTCTGACTCTCCCAGTGCTGACAGCTGACTGCCTTTAACTGTGGGTGCATACACACACCCCTTTCTCTCTGGCTCTGGGATTGCTTTGAAAGTTCTTCAGATGGAATGACAGCAGCCATCAGCATTCTGTTTGAGGATGGGGAAGGAGGCCAGGAACCCTGCTACTAGAAGAGGAGGGAGGTCTTGGCAAGCTCACCTTGCCTCTGTAGAGGTGAATGAGTCTCAGAGATCTTTGGGTCCAGAAGGTGAAGAGCAGTTGCAGTCCTGGCAATTGCAGGTGTGCTTGAGCCTTGGGACAAGATTGGTCTCATGGGGTAGCAAGGGACATGGGGGTCACTGTGAAGAGCCCAAAGAACAGCATTTGTCAGGCCCTTTTGGAAATTCTGGAAGGGATGTCTAGATCCCAGCTTTGTAATCTGAGAGACAACTTTTGGCTCTCTGGCCAGCCTTGCTCAGTTCTGCAGCTTGGCAGACTGAGCTATAGAAGCTGGAACCTTGCCTTTCTTCACATAAGCTACCGGACGCTCCCAAGCTGAGCACTCTAGAATAGTGTGTGTGAGGGGTCCCTAGATACTGTGTGACCATTATTGTATGTGGAAGATGCCCCAGCTTGGTTAGACTGCTCCACTGGAGTCCAAGGAGGTGGATTTTAGGGCAGGAAACCACTCACTGAGTCCCAGGAAGGTGGCATCTTCTAGCAGCTATAGGAGGGAACTGGGCTTCATTGAAAGTGCAAACCTGCTGAAGAGCTGGGACCTACATATTATCCCAGAGTGGGTAAATGCCCCCAAATTCACCTTTTTTTATTTTTAAACATATTTCTATAGCATTTTGTTTTATTATAGAACTAGTATTAACAATTGTCCAGGGAAGAGTTTGGACACATGGAGCAGACCAAAATCGAATGATTAACTAGGGATCCCACAAGTGGGATTGTGTGTAAAAGGCCCCTAGTGTGGTACTTGGCTCATGGCTGGCTGTAGCAGTTGGTAGGGGGACACTGAGAATGTTAAACTGGTCCAGCTAAGTCCCTAATGCCTGACTCCCCTCCAGGCAAGGTCCAGAATCTTTTCTATAAATCCCCTTCTCCAAGGTCTCTGATTTCTGAGAGTTCTCAGGGAAGAGTCCTTGTAAAATAGCTTGAGAAACTTTGAAGTTTAGGGAGACAGGGCATTAATTTGGTGGTTGATTAATTGGGGCAGGCAGGCCCTGAATTCAGACTTGGCTTTCTCCATAGAATTATAGAGAAGGGTTGCTGGAGGAATTGCCAAAGGGGTGTAGTTTGCTCATGAGGGGAACCTGGTGGCTGAGTTCTGGGACAGCTGGTTTGACTTGGGTTGTCCTGCTTGGGATTTAAAAGAGGAGAGGGGGCCCAGACTCCCACCCAGAATGTTCTGAGGTGGGAGTCTAGAGATTGTGCTGAGATGCTCTGTGGCAGGCATGCTGAGGTGTGGCCTGCACTAGGACCCTTCCCTGCTTCAACTGGAGTAACTCTGCCTTAGGTCCTACAATCCAGATAATGCTTTGGGATTTTGTTTGGAAAAGGGCTTGTAAATCTCAGTGGGCTTAAAGACATTTGTCCTAAGACAGTTGTACCACCAGGAAGATGCCCTCCACCGTGTTAGCTGCATGCTTCTTTGGGATATGGAGGATGCTGTAGCAGCTATAGTGCAAATGGAGCTGGGAGGCATTAGGCCCATCCTTGCACAGATTGGGACTCCCAGAAGAAACAATTCTTTCTGGGAGAGCCTCACTCTGAGTGAAGGCTGGATCTGAAGGGAAGCTCAGTGTAGCTACAAGCTGGGGTTCTCTGGGGTGAAGGTGACTGAACTCCCACTGGTGGGTGATAGCATGGTAGTGTCTTGGGACAACAAAATGGAAACCAGAAGCAGAGGCCTTAGCAGGGTGCTTGCAGAAGAGAGTAAGCTAGATGAGCTATGGACTAGGAGGAATCTCGCAGCATACTGGTCAGAACCTGAGTTCTCACTGGGCTCAGAATCCTGTGCTTGTTTCCTCTTAGCTTACCTCGGTG